CGGGTAACTGGACAATGATTTAGAGGCTATGTTTTTTTTGCTGGATATCTTTTAGATATATCCAGGTTCATGACAGCTAACTATTTGTCAGTGGAATCTGTGATAATTAGTAACTTGGTAGCCAATGAAAATAAGTTTTCATCTTAAGACTCAACAGGGAGCGATGACCTGAAATCACTGTGGTAGACCTGGGAGACTGGAGAACAGGAAGCAAAAGGGAAGTCTTCTCCACTGAAGGTCTACAAAAATGAAAGTAAATTTGTAAAAACCTGTGTGGTCATTTAAGTAGTCCTACTCTAAAACAGCAACATCAACTGGTTGAAGAAAGGAATTTTAAAAAATCAAACTCCTGTAATATTATAGAATGGGATTTTCCCCACACATGTTTGAATGCCCAAACATTGCCTCAGGTGCTACAATATCTGGTACAATGAGGAAAACAGTCTCTAAACAGTTTCATTGCTGGGCCTGGCAGGTGTGAAGTTTCACCTGGGCAACAAAAGAACCTGTACCCGGACACCTTGATTCTAAGAATTAATTGTTTCTTTTTTAATATATTTTACTGATTATGCTATTACAGTTGTCCCAATTTTTCCCCCTTCACCCAATTAATCATTCCTTTGCATGTTGATTGTCTTAAATTAGCCACCATCGCCAACGGTTGGCACCCACCCTGTGTGAGGGGCAGCCCTTGTCTTCCGTCCAGACTGGGCTCCCACTGCCCCCCACGCACACCTGTGTTGGGCCCTCTCGGGTCACATCTGCGTCCAGTAGGAAAGCTTCTTGTACACGTGGGGTTATGCATAGTAGTCTGTGGTACTGGCTGGGAAATACATCACAGATCTTAAAATGAATTTTTTTCCATTCTGAATACTGATAGTGATTCCTTGGAGAAGAAAAAGGCAGGCCTTAGCAATAGCAGAAAGACACTCCAAAAAGAGGAGACTGAGTTTATGAAAGTACCCATCAAATCTGGTTAAAGAACAAGAAAGCAGTCGCCGCTAGGCCTGTTTTGACACATATTCTGGCTCAGTGGACAGAGCAATACATGGAGCCCTGGTCCCAGCTCCGCCCAAAAGCCAGGTGATCTTGGTCAGATCCTGTAAACTCCCTGAGCTTCCATTTCCACAACTTCTTCAGCAGAAATGGGGACCCAGTATGGGCCGCACCTGTTCACAGTGCTTGGGGATGAAGTGAAATGATGCATGTGAACCCGCTGTGTGAGGAATTATTACACATCCAAGAGGATGAAGTCAACTGGCATGCCCTGGATAGGCCTGAGTGTTGGGCAGAATTTCTAGACAATTTAGAGTAAAATGCCTTGTGGCCACCATGAAGACTTTGCCTCCTATTTTTATTTCATTTCTGAAATGGATTTGCAATCCATTACCACCAGTCAGCACTGCGTGGAACACAAAATGCCACATTCTCCTTATGCTGCATTCTCCAGCCTGTCCGTCACACTTGCCCACACATCCCGTATCTGTGTGCCCCACCCAAGTCATAAATTCACATTCACAGATACTAGAAGGAGTTCTGAGGGAAAGATACAAAATATTTCTTAAGTGTCAAGCATCCCTGATGTGTATAAGTGGTTGTTTGCCAATCATTGGCCTTAAATGTATCTTTTCCAAAGCAAAATATTAATACTCTTTCGATTTAAAATAGGAAAAAAGAAAACACACTCCAAAATCACCATAGAACTAACCATTAATAATTGATTTGCATGCAACTCTTAAGAATATGTATCTTCCAAAATGAGAAAAATCTGATTCCCCTAGTAAGCTCCCCGTTGGAGCTTACTGAGCTGGGTAGGACGCAGGATTTCGAGGGCTTGAATAGGGGAAGAGGACAGAGCTCAGACTTAGGGTTGCCACATGCTAAGGAAGGGGTGTAAAGAAAGAGCCCATCAATCTTTTCTCATCAGTGAGTCTCTGTTCCTTCCCAAAACCAACAGTGAGAGACAACGCTCCACTCTTAGGAAACCAAACCATATTCACATATTCATTTTGGGCAGGTTGGGAAAGAGCTGTGGGTACAGAGACTCAAGAGGACATGACCAGTGCAGAAGTTACACTGAGCACACTCAACTCCGCCCCCAGTCCTGGGTTTGACAGACACAAAACATTTACCAACAACAGGTTGCCGTCCTGTTTGAGGTACCACAGACAAGCCCAGTACTCTGTCTTTCCAAGTGACCCTCACTTTCCTGTCCATTCTCAATGCACCCACACAAAGATTCTGTACTGAAGGCCCCTAATTATCAAGAGCTGTAACAGTTCCAGTTGCAAACACCAACTGTCCAAATGCTGGGGACTCATAAACTTGCCTCTCTGTATACCCCAGTTACCGCCACTGCAGTTCTCTGAAAGGTAAGCCCATATTTAAAATACAGGCTCTTGTTTTTCATAGCATGAAGAAGAAACAAAAAAGACATCATCTGACAAATCTTTATTAAGAATGACCAGCAATAACAGGCTCCTGTTTACAGAACTGAATGATGTATTAAACAGTAAATAATACTAGTTTGCAAAAGATTTTGCATCTATGTCCTGCAGGAAAATCTCAATTTCGAAGCATGAAAACAAAACAGAAGAAACCCGAACACCTACAAATAAACTGAGCAAGACGTGGCTCCTGTTAAGGAGTATTTTAACTTACACAGTCACAGTCACTCTGTATTTTATTCTAAATGTCTACAAATTCTCATTTTCACTGTTTTGCTCCTCAGTATTTGATAGTAAGTAATTTCAGGAAACTTTCTCAATCTCAAGCATAACAAAAGTATTAAGATTATAAAGGAACAATACATTCTATGAACATTACATAAATAACAAATACATGTTAAATGGCCTTGTATTTTAGTTTGGATAACTATGATACACACCATAACCAAAGACATTGACCACCGTGGAATCCAAACTTGCTAAGAATTGAATCTATTAGCCCAATATGAAGTTAACACTTAGTCCGAGTCTCCAGTTTCCCCTTTGCAAAATAGTTTTTGTCTTTGCCTCAGTTTATACAGGATCAAAACAAGGCAGCACAACCTGACTCACCTCCTCACCCCCAAATGGGGGAACTGAGATCTTCTTTTGAGAAAAGGGGAGGAAGACAACTATTTCTAAGTGAAAGCATACTGAAGAGCAAAGCTGTAAAATGAACAGATAAGTGGATTCCAGGTGTTAGCGATGGGTAGAGAGGGATGGTTACAAGGGCTCAAAAGTGACTTGAAGTGGGGGATTAGGGGGGTTGATGGAACTGTTCTGTATCTCAATTATGGAAGTGATTACATAACTGCATGCAACTCTCAGAATTCATAGAGTGGCACAGCTAAGGAGGCTAAGTTTTACTGTATGTACCTTATACTGCAATAAGCCTGCCTTTATAAAAACGCTATTATGTCTAAAACAATGTGCTAGGCACTGATTTATAAAGTCTAACATTCAAGTACATACACATTCCTTGAGGGTTCTACATGTAATTTCTCAAGAGTTCTAGATATAATTATTACAGTTACCAGTAAGTGATTCATGTTCAGCCTCTAGTATCTTATATAATTATTTTATTATATATTTATATATGTAAAATGACTTAGAATATGAACTAAAATTATCATAATATGTATTTGAGTCATTACCTGTTGGATACGCATTGAAATAGAAAACTGCAGTCTTATTCTTACAAATGGACAGAGGTATCAATACCTGTTAAATGCTAATTATATTTCTAAGGGTTAAATTTACTACTACATTTTACCTTTTCCATATTGTAAATAAACTTTGAAAAGGTAAAAGGTGTTCAGATTCATTGAAGTCCCTCAAAACCATTATGAAATATCCCAAATATGTTTTTTAATTGATTTCAGAGACCTATATACCTTAAGTGTTATAGGAAAACTGGCTGCTTTTAAAATAAGAGTTTTTCAGTAATTTGACCATAAAGAGTGCTTTAAGATAAAATGGAACCCTTACATCTTCTCTCCTCTAGAACGTGTGCAGAAACATGCTGACTTTCTACAGGGAGAAGAAAAACAGGAGTCAGTGCGTGTGTGATGCTCTTTTCCCAGTCACAGTATATGTACTTTTTTCAATGCTCACAGCACAAACCTTCCTTTTCTCACACATTCACTTTTTAAACAACAAATATCCTTCCCCACGCACAAAAGAAAATAGCCACGGTGAGTTCAGAAACTTAAAAGTGAAAATTACTAATGGAATGTCCATGTAAACATCAGAAATATAACAAAATATGACCAAATCCTTCTAAAGCATTACTTTTTAAAAAGTTGGTAAAATTCAGCCAAACTTGTTTTCCTACTCAAACCCATCCAAATCCAAAATACTTGTTTTTCACAAAATTAACATTCCCTTGACTTAACTGTATACGTCCAATGTGAATTAGGCACGAATGGTGACACGAAGGGTTAAGGGACAACTGCTGGATTCCTTCTCAGCACATAAAACAGCCCAGAACTTAATCTCACCCAGTCAGCCCAGGAGAAGCCAATCGACCCTTTCCTAAGGCAAATGGAATACCAGGTCATACATTTTACAACACTAGGCACCTGCCTGACCCCGTGCATCCTCCCACACCCACAAAACTCCAGCATGAAGAGGCTTCTTCAACTCTCCTACTGCCAACATTTCACCACTGTCGGGAAAGCCGTAGAGAAAAATCTAGACGAGTGTTTTCTTTTAAAAAAACATGTATTATCAGAACCATCAACCCAGAGCTTACAGGCACAGACTAATTAAATAAGTTAACTTGCCGGCATTTTGGATGAAACTATTTCATCAGGGCATGAAATCTGTTGCCAGTTTTCAAATCAGTTGCACTGGGTTCAGGGGGTGCCTTACTCTCAATGTTACTAGCTTCCCACTGCTGGATTTCAAACAGAAAATCAGACAATTAAATCGCATTTCAGGGAAAGGGCACTTAACCTTACTCGCCTAGCAATCTCTCAAATGCAACAGACACGTGTTTTTCCCAGAGTAGTTCTATGCCCGGCACCTGGCTGCAGGCCACCAGCCGCGGAGAGCGAGCGCCCGGTGCAGCCCAGACACGGAACGCCAGCCTACCCGCAGCCCGGGGTGCCAGCCGCAGCCCCAGAGGATCCCTCTCTCGCCACCTCCTCTTCCCAGCAAGTTTCTATAGGTGGTCCTCGCAGCAGGAGCCGGAGAGTGGGTGTCAAAACGTCCAGTAGCTGGAGACACTGCAAAGAGCGGTTGTGACTTAACGAGGAGCCGCTTCTTCCTTTTAAAGATCCGAGAGAGGGAGGTGGAGAGGGAGAACCCAAGAGCCCACGTGACCACCAAGTGGGCGGCTGGGAGGTCTCTGATGGTCCCGAACTCCTTATCTCTCGATCGAGACTCACCTGGGCGAGGGGGAAGAAGGGGCTGTCCCAGCGCCTCACAGTCACCTGCTGAGGTAGCAAGGCACAGAGGGCGCCCTTCGCCCTGTCTCAGATTTAGGAGAGCTGAGGCAGGCCTGAGAATGTGCATTTCTAACCAGGTCCCGGGTGATGCCGAAACTGATGCTGCCGGTCTGGGGACTGCACTTTGAGGATCACGTCCCTAGACCTTGGCCCACGTGGACCTGAGGGGTTGGATGCGCCGATGGCATTAAATACAGAAGTCTGACGCTAAGAATCTAATGGTTAAACTTGAGAGGCTTGGGGTTTGCCTGCAGTAGCAAGAGCAGCCTTGTGCCCCCGGAGAGGCAAAGCCACACAGCAATGGTCGGGAGGTGGAGAGAATGGGTTCTCAGCTCTCAGGGGCTGGCTGGGAAAGCCTTACATCAAAGAGCCTAGGAGCCTCCTCAAACTCACCTACTGTAAGGAAGCACCCCGGAAAAAAATCCGTGCCTCCTCTGGAGCGTGCCCCCTTCCCTGGCTGTGCCTGCACCGTGCTCATTTCGCAGGCCAACGCCCCCTGGTGGCAGCTCCAGTCCCCCCACCCCCGCCTCAGTGGGGTTCCCGAAGTGGAGTCTCTGGGCAGTAGACCACAGTGTGTAGACCACAGTCTGTAGACCAGGACCATACCAGGTAGTTATGGAGAAGGAAGTGGCATTAGGGCAGCCACTGACGGTGGCAATTAAAAGGCAAGTAGCAGATTCCCCATAGGCCATCTCTAGTGTGCTCTTGGTTTCGACCAGCGAGGTCCACAGGTGGTGGAGACAAGCCCCAAATATGGAGGGCCACCTACAAACAAGGTTATCAAAAATTCCCTACTCCACCCCCCTCCGGTTTTTACTAAAGCCGAGACTCTCAAGTCACAATGCCGAGAGTTTCCGGATTCCTGAGGCAGAGAAGCTAGTGTGGACAGGAAGGAGACTGCTAGCTGACCAGACCCACCTTGCGGAGACCTGTAGAGGACGGGTACTTACCTGTGCCAGTCTCAGCGTCCTGTCCCCTCTCCTGCCTGTCTCTCCAGGTACCTGGTACCCATATACTGCTTTCTTCTTTCCATCATAAGGAGAAAAATCTTTCTTTCTACTTTATTTTTAATTGTTTATTCTATTACAGTTGTCCCAATTTTTTTCCCCTTTACCCCACTCCACCCAGAGAAAAATCTTAAATAATGGTTAAAGAGATTAGTTCCACTTGGTAGTATTTACTTGTTAACAGGATACATCTGGAATGGAAATGGCTATGAAGGAATTTCAGTCCTGAGCCAACAGGCCAAGACGACGTGAGGGTGAAGAAAACTGACATCTATCAAGTGTCTGCGTCGTGCCAAGACTGTGCCCAATGCTTGCACAGCCTCTCATTTAATCCTCATGCCAGCTCTGTGAACCCCCCTCTGAGGTAATACTGACCCCACTTTTCAGGTCAGGAAACTGAGGCTCACAGATCTTCTGTCAGCCACACACTGTAAGAAAGGAACTCGGTAACAACAATGCTTACAGAGTCAGCTACCACTCATTGGGTAGTTGCTCCACTTTCTACGTATCTCATTTTATACATAACAAGCCTATGAAGTAGATTACATTAACTAGCCCCATTTTACACTTGATGAAATGACCAGTCAGTGGCTAAGAGGGACTTGAACCCGGGCCAGAGCCCAAGACTTTTCTGCCATAACAAGCCTACAATCAATGGGAAATGAAGCTGGCTTGGACATCAGGATGCTCTGTTTCCTGCCGATGAGCACTGACTCAAAGCCTCCTACCACTTGTGAGAAAAGCACCCGCGCGACCCCAGAACTAGAGCTCCACGTCTGCTGTGATGCTCCCTTCGGAAGGTGCTCCACTCAAGGGCACAGCATGTTCTCTTTTTAAAGACCCTCAAACACCCACAGAAGCTGTTTGTTATACATGGAAACCTCACCGCAGGAAACATTAAGCAAGGAGAATGAATGGGAGTGAGTACATTTCTTTCTGACTCACCCTGTGGATCAAGAAAAACAAAGGTACCTCAGGGATAAAATCTTTGATTGATTTAATGCAGTGAAACAAACAAAATTAAGAGGGAATTCTTGAGACAGTTAATGCCAATGACTAGACCAAAAGGTGCCCTGAAATCTAGTGTTGAGGAGGGGTTGATGCTTGTTTCCACCTCACCCATGATCTGCCTAAGGAAGCACCCACATGGTATGACATCTAAAGGTCTGCCTCTCTCCAAAGTAACCTATGACAGGGACCGAAGTCATCACCATTCCATCATCCTTTGATGTTAAATCATTGGATTGTTAAAATTCAATCATGTTGTACATGATGGGTGATATTAATTTACTAGCATTTATGATTGCACTAGTGAGAGCTTGTAAGATGAGCTAAATGTCACCTGGGAAAGCAAAGGAGGTCAGTGCAGGACAGGTATGTTTCACTGCAGGGGAAAGGAAGGCCTCTGTCCATCAGGGGTACCTTCCTCATCTGCTCACCTCACCCCTTCTCTTCTAGTGATGGCTTACCCTCCCAAAGCTGAGAGCCTGAGTGAAGTGAAGGCCGTGATAGCCTAGTGCAGTGTGCACCCAGCCTCCAGCGAGGTGCTCATCCTGTGGGCCAGCCCTGCCTGCACCAGGATTGCACGGTGCCGTCTTGTATGTCCAGCATCCCCCTCAGTTGCAAAGTGCTCAGAGCACCCACCTAGTTCAACCAGGCATACAACGAACCCCTGCTAAAGGCTCAGAAAAATCAAAGGGCAAGGGGAGAGATTTCCCGTGGCAAACAAAATACCAAGAGGCAAAACAAACTCCTGCAGGAGGCAAGAAAGCAAACGCTGGTATGAAAAAGTAAAGGGGAGGGAGGAACCCTACAAATGGCTAGAACAGTGTGCACAGTGCTATAGGTGGCCTTGGGTTGACAGTCTTTCTCTACTGAGCCTGAGGACACGTAGAAAGATCTGTGTCTTGGGATGCTCTTACCTGCTCCAGAGTATGAGAGCATCAGGCTCGTTCTTTATATTGTGTGTCTATAAACACACCTGCTTTAAATGAATCTGAGAAATGAAACCCTAAACTTATGGAATTTATAAAAGACAAAGATTTGTTGAACCTGCAATAACACCTTTATCTGGTGGCGACAAATAAGAAAGGTGAGATTACCGATGTGGTATGTCAGAGATTATCTCAGCTACTCACAAATGTGGGTTCGTAATATAGAATTTGCTACTTGAAAGCTGAATTGGGGTAGAGCTCTTTAGGATCATGTCTTTTTATGGAGATGAAAATGAACCTAATACTCACATGACGTCACAGCCCAGGCACCACAGGAGGGGGCTGGCGCAGGTGGGTTCGTTTTCATTTCATTCAGTCCTCATAACTTCCCTATATGGCTGTCCCTGCTTTGCAGATGGGGAAATTGAGGCTTGGAGGTGACATTTCATTTGTAAGGTCACCCGTATGCATATGGCAGAGTGAAAAAGTTCTAAGAAAGTTCTTGCTTTCTACATCATTATTCTGCGATGCTTTTCTTATTTGTTGTGTAAACTGAGTGTGTTTGTCCTGAAGAACCTGGATATTGCTGAAGGAAATTTTGTGAACTTCTGGCCTAGGTGTGACTACCCCTGTGCACATTTACATGACTTTATTCTTTACTGACATGTGTTTGACTGGAGCCCTCGGTAAAGTGACCAAGGGCATAAGCTGGAAGGCAGACCTAACCTGATACCTGGGTGCTCAGACCACAGGACCAGGTTACTCTGACCTCCAGTTGAAATGAACCACCTGGCAGCCAGACTATGCAGCCATTACTTAGATGTCACCTCATTTGTCTCAGTCCTTAGTCTTTTATATTTGCAAATGTACAAGTAAACTTTTTGTCCTGCCTGATGCTCCTTGAAGGTACTAAGGACCTTGAAGGTCCACACAAACCTCTTGCACACCTTGAGTTTCTAATTTTTGATCCATTTTAAATGAAACATCATGAAGAATATATGTTCCTGTTTTTAGTGTCTCTACCCAACTCTGATTGAAATGATTCTCTCTTGAGCTGGAAAAGAAACTAGCCCCTGGAGGTCACTGGCAAGAATGTGAATACTCAGCTGAGAAAGAAAATGCTAAGGAAGTGTTAGAAATGGGGGCAAATTGTAATCTGCAATTTCACAAATGACTCAAATGCAATTCTGGAACTACAGCATCTTACCTCTTCTGGCACAGAATAAGATAATATTAATAACAGATTGGACAATGTAATGTTCCCAGAAATGAGGTAAAAAAAAAAAACAGCATATAGACAGACATGGCCTAAGAGGCCATAGATTCTAATAGTATCATCTGATTTCACAGAGTTTAGAATTCAAAAAAATCTACTAAAGTTTTTTCTTCTTCTTGTAAAGGTATTCACCATTTTCAGGCTCTTTGTTTATGTCATGGAAAGTTACTAAAAATGTCTCATGTTGTTCCTTAGACCCACCTCAACTAATGCACTAGTGATACAGATTGTATTAATGGTACTTAGGAAAACACAGACCCCAGCTTTGGTGCAGAGAGAGAAGGGGCTTCTTTCACATGTTATTACTTGATCTGATGAGCCAGCCAGAGAGAGGAATGGTACTCTCCCTATTCAATACCCTTTTATTGGGAATTATAGCCAGGAAAGGAACTTCTATAAGTAGTTCAGACCACTTTCGAGAAATTGGCAATTTTGTCCAATTTACTAGGATCACTGCATTCTCCCCTTTTTCCTCTTCTTTTTACACTTCTGCATATTTTCCTTCTATCCGTCCAGGCAGTTTCACTCACTCATCTCTCCACAGTTCCTCACTAAGAGAACTGCCACCCTAGGATGACATTGGCTCTTACAGTTAACAAAGCACCTATGTGGCCAGGTTATAATTCATTTTCACTCCAAACTCTTTGATGATTTTACCCCCATTTTACAGTTAAGGAAACTTAAAAGAGTTCTTCAGATTCACACTTACAGGAACCAAGGTCAGGTCATCTGACTCAGTACGGAGGTCCATACCTGCCTCCCCGAGGGAGATTCACTTCCTGTGTTCCTAGGGAGTCCTGGGGTCTCTAAATGTCTGCCACATGGCTGCTGCTAGTAGCTGCGGGTTTGCTTCGGCCCAATCTTGTCCCTCCCTCTGCCCTTCTCACCCCATTGGTCTAAAATACCATCCAAGGGAGAAAATTATTGATAGCTTCTTTGGTTATTTTCACCTTAAAATTATTCGGATGTGACATTACATTTGTTCCTTCATAAACACTCTTCTTTGAGAGTGCTTCATGCCCTCGTGCATTTATCTCTGTGTGAGAGGACCCCCTTAATGCTGAAAACCAATAATGCTCTAAGTCCCCATAGGAGACAAGATAATGTGAAGATGTTTGCTCTCAGATGATAACTAGGTAAAGGAGGAGGAGATGACCACCATTCATCCAGCAATTGCTTGGAAATCCTTTCTCTGCACTGTTTCATTTAATCCTCACAACAATCTCACAAGGTAGGTACTATTTATGCTCCCATGTAACAAATGGGAAACTATGGCTCAGAAAGTTTAAGTTACTTGCCAACACCACACAACTAGTAAGTAGCAAAAGGTTCAAACCTCACCCCAAGGCCTAGTCTCTCTGAACTGCTGATCTCCCTAAGGCTTTATAATCTAGGGAAAGAGATAAGGCAAAACCCTAATAATTTACCTTCAACACCCATTACAAATGGTGATGAGTGAATGGTGGAGATGGAAAGGTGTGTGGACACTCAGAGGAAGAGAAGTCGCTTCCCTACTGGCGTGGGTTCCTTTCAGAGAGAGATTTACATGAACCCCCAGAGCTCCTTACCTGAGCCGACCGCGTTTCAGACAGGAGGGTGCTGATCTCTGGGTCTCTTCTAATTCTACAGGTGCCAAGGCCCAGCCTTGCATCCTTCCCTCAGAATCCCTCATCCTTCCACTCTGTCCTCTGGAAGCTGCGTTCAGGGCCCAGGACTTCTGCAGATAGGACAGAGAACAGGAATGAGGGAGGCCAGAAGAGCCCAGCGCAGAATGAGGCGCAGGCTTGGAGTCGATGTGGCCTGGCCTGCGTTGGGTTTTCAGCCCAACCGCTTACCAGCTGTATACCCTTGAGCACTTTCCTGGCCTCTCTGATCTCCCTGTGTAGAGTGGGAAGAACATAAAAATCTAATTTATATGATGATTGTGAGAATGAAAAGAAAGAATGAGTTGTGATGCCTGACACCTGGTAAATTCTCAATGGCAGCTTCAAAACAACCCAAAGGTCCTTGGAACAAAAGGTTTCACCGATGTTGAGGACTTGACTTAGGAAAAGGCAAGGAGCAGGTTTTCTATTTTAAATGTTTAGGGTTTCCTCTGAGGGTGGAGGAGGTAGTAGGGAAAGTAGATGCTCTGCCCAGAGTTAGTCCCGGAATTCTGCATACCTCTCTTTAGTCGGGCCCAAAGGGGAAGTGCGTCAGAGAAAGACCCACTGGCCCATGTGGAAGTCGCAAGGCTAATTTGGAGCAGTGTTTTCCCCCGTTCCTAGACCAGGAGTCACCTGGGTCACTGTTTAAAATAGAGATTCCCAGGCCTATCCTCCACGGCAAAATCTGAGCCAGGAGTTCTGGGGCAGGTCCTAAAAGTGTGCCTTTTCCACAAGACATTGGACTTTTTAATGATCAGGGAAGTTTGGGAAACATTGCTTTAAAATGCTCAAAGTGCTTCTGTGTCCAGTGTATAATGGAATCTACATAATGGGTGAATTATTATTCCATTTCATAGGAAAGGTAACGAAGGCCCGACAAAGCCTGCTCACGCTGGCTGGGAGCCAAGGAATTTGCAATTCAGGCAAATCAATCACTGTCTAAAATCAGTCGTAGTGAGTAGTGACACTACAGATTTCTCTTGGCCAGAGAGGAGCTCAGGTTTCCTTCCTTCAGAACAACACAGGGCATAGATTGATGTGAATACTCCTTAACTGTACCCTGGTTTTTGGTTCGCTTTGACTATTGTCTTTTCCTCTAGGGAATCCATAAACACTACATACAAAGCAGGACTTTGTTTTTAAAGAGCTGGGTTATTCCCATACCGCCGAGCAAAGGTAATTAATTTGTCTTGCTGTTAGTATCTTCACCTGCATCCTCGCCTTTCATTTTCTCCTCCTGCAACTAACTTCTTTTATCATCCCTAAAACTTCTGGTCCTGGATTAATTCATTAAGGGCTCAAATTCTATGAAAGACTGTGCTATAGAATTGTTTCAGATTTCCTAGTTAGAGAATCTAAGTATTGGCTTTACACAACAGGTTCATGTCTCCCTCTAATGGATGGGAAAGAATAAAACAAATCAGATTTCTTTTTTTATTGTATTTATTTATTCATTTATTTAAATGTATTTATTTTAATTGTTCAAGTACAGTTTTCTGTCTATTACTCCCATCCTAGCTCACCCCCTAGTGCTCCCCACCTCCCTCCCATTTCCGCCCCCCTCAGTTTTTGGCCATGTGTCCTTTATACTTGTTCCTGTAAACCCTTCTTACCCTTCTCCCCTGAAATTCCCTTCCCTCTCCCCTCTGGTCCCTGTCAGCCTGTTCTCTATTTGAGTGTCTTTGGTTATATTTTGCTTGCTTGTTTGTTTTGTTGTTTAGGTTCCTGTTAAAGGTGAGATCATATGGTATTTGTCTTTCACTGCCTGGCTTATTTCACTCAGCATAATGCTTTCCAGTTCTATCCATGCTGTTGCAAAGGGTAGGAGCTCCTTCTTTCTTTCTGCTGCATAGAATTCCATTGTCAAATCAGATTTCTATCTTGTTAAACCAGAAGACTTAGTATGATTTATCTATATGATATATGATATATAAAACATGTGTTGAAACAATATGTAGTGGCTTATTAAGGTAATTTCCAAGAGCAGCACACAAGTGTGCTTTTGCTTTCATTACTTTAATATTTCATGCTTTCAATACTTACATTTACTTAACTATGTTCCAGATGTCAAAGTATAAAGATATGAATAATACCATGCAATGACAAAAATGAATGCAAAAACTCGCTTAATTCTGAGATGGAAAGATTGACAAGATATACTAAGGGGGAAAAATCATAGTACAAAATAGTATAAATAACATTCTACCATCTATTTTAAGGGAGGAAGAAAGAATACACACACAAAACATTTCCAGAAAGACACACACACACAGTTTGTTCTCTCCTAGAAGGGGAACAAATTATCTGGAAAACAGAGATAGGCAAGAGCTTTCACTGCATTTCTTTTGTGTATTTTGAATTGTGAGGATATTTCCTAGTCAAAAAAATGAACAGATGTTGAAAATTAATAAGACAAAAATGAATGAGGCAGGTTCTGCATTTGGTTACTCTGAAGAAACACACACGCTCAGACAACACCATGTGATCGGTGCTGGGATAGCACTGTGCACACCGTGTTAGCTGCTAGCAACACCAGGAGAAGGCGCCTACTGTAACCAGGGAGGGAGAGGGCATGGGAGCAGGAAAGGTCATTACGGCCGGGTCAGGGAACACCTTCTATGCCAACGTAAAGAGCTTTCACTGAATTCTGCAGGCAACAAGCCATTCAAGGACTTCAGCGGGAGAACAACAAGTAGATTTGTCTCTAGTGGGGTATCACTCTGGCAACAGTGTTGGGGGAGGATTCAAGGAGGTCCAGACTAAAGTAAGGTAGAGTCAGGGACCTTTTCTGTAATTTTCCTGTTTCGATGACCTGTTTTCTAGGGTCAGATTGCCTCAGGCTAAGGCTGTTTGACTTGTCCTTGCCAGGGCGTAATAAGAAAATACCCTCCCTTTCAATATTAGTTCTTTCAACATGAATATATTTTACCTACTTTGCTTCTTCATATGTAGTTTGCCTTAGGTTTATTGTGCACAGTTTATTAGGTTTTCATTTATTATCAGGAGCAAAGTTTAATAAGAACATGTGAATAATCAGTAAGTGAGTCTTATAACCAAAATGTACTAAACTGTTTTCTAAAGTTAGTTGTGCATATTATAATTTTTTTCTATAGCTTTGACTTTTCTATGCTCTGAATTCCTAGCTGAGATTTGGCAAACATGAGGTCTGTTGTTTTTGTTAAAACCTATATTTTAAGGGAAAAATAGCATAATTTTAAAGTGAAAACACAACTGGAAAAAGAAATGAACAGGAATAGGCTTGGCTGAGTCTGAAGACAATTTATGGAGCCCTTATTCACAGATGACTTGTTCTTAGTCGGGGGAGGAGATTAAATTATCCAAAATTGGAATTTACTTACAATGTGCTAGACTTATTACCAAGACTTAGCAAATGACACCTCATTCTTCCTCACAGTAATCCCATAAAATACGTCATCTTATTCTGCTATTATTTACAGATGAGAAGACTGAGACTCAAGCAAGTTAATCAATTTGCCCAAGGTCGGGTAGCTCAAAACTGTCAGATGGATTTGTGCCCATCTGTCTGATTCTGAAGCCCATTTTTAAAACAGATTTTCTTTATTTAATTTTAGACAGAAGGGAAGGGAGGGAGAAAGGGAGAGAAACATCAATGTGTTGTTGCCCCTCATGTGCACCCTTACTGGGAACCTGGTCTGCAACCTAGGCATATGCCCTAGACTGGGAGTCAAACCAGCAACCCTTTGGTCTGCAGGCCAGGGCTCAATCCACTGAGCCACACTAGCCAGGGCTGAAGCCCATTTTTCAGGATCAGCATATACAGGGTTCCCTCTAAACTGTCCAACAGAAGCCTACCTTCCTCCCAGGACTTCTGCCAAAACCTGCCTTCTAAAGTATTCCCCTTCCTTCCAACCACCTTAGTGAAAATAGCGGGTAGACGGGTAGACTTTCTCCTTATTATCTCCTCTCCCAACCCTATCCCTCTCCTCTCATCTCCCTTCCTCCTCTCCTCATCTCCATGTCATCTTCCTAATCTCCTTCCCAATTCCACTCATCTCTATTCTATTCCTTATGCTTTGTGGTTTTCTTCCCTGTTGCATTGAAGACCCAGGTCTTCTCTGCTTCCTTCCCCAAATCAAACAATCTAGCCTCAGGAAGTACCAACACACCGAGATAAAGAAGGATTGAAATCATAAGATAAAGTTTTAAGGGTATAATTTCAGGAATCTATAAAATGAGGCTATGTCATAGTCCCCACCAGATAACACAGTTGAAATGGTCGATGTCTATTTGGTATTAGAAGACAAGTTTCACTGCCTGCAACTTCTAAGGAAAATTTGCTTCAATTCTTTTAATTTCACTATCTCAGGTATACATTTTGAGCGTACATTTTCAGAGGCTCTTATGTCATGTCTCGAAAATGTCCACTTGCACAAACTTTGAGAACGTTAAAGGCAACCACCAGACAAAAATTTTCCCCAAGATTCTCCAATTCCTGTAAATAAGCTAAATGTCATAAATTGAACATCTAAACCAGGTCAATTTTATGGTATGTAAATTATGTGTCAATAATACTTTTAATGGATCAAGTTCAACAGATGGGATTGGGGATCCGACAAAATCGAGATTTGCAAAGCTAACGACCCCCGCCCCGCCCTGCACCGGCCAATCTGGGATCACTCCGGATACCTACGAGCTCCAGCCCGGCCTAAAACACCGGGCTGGGCTTCAAGCGTGGCCAACCATCAGTCATCCTACATTTTAAAAGTACGGGGGCCACCCAGACTCTCCCACTCAGCAACAGAGGAGTGGGAGGAGGAGAAAGGGGGAGAAAGTACAGAAAATAAGTAGCACAGACAGCAGATAGAAAATAGATAGGAGGGAGGGTAAGAATAGTAGGGGAAATATAGAATCTAAAGAACTTGAAACACATGTTCATGAACTAAAGGGGGAGAATGGTGGGGGAGGGGGTGTGTAGGGTGGAGGGGAATGAAGGGGGAATAGAACAACTGTAATGGCATAATCAATAAATATATTTTAAAAAAGAAAAAGAAAAAAAAAGAATTAGGGTGGGGATCCCCCAACACCAGTCTGACAGCCCGTGGGCCAGAACGCCGAAAGTCCATCCCACTCCACAGGCTTCGCTTCGGCGTGCAAGCCCAGTGCCGGGTCAAGTTCTCCGGCAAGGGAGCCCCGATCTCTCCCGCGCCCTAGGCCGGGGAGGAACCCTCCCAGACAGCGCCTCGGTCTCACGAAACTGTCCCCACCCCCAAACTGCCGGATAGGCTGGAATCACGGCCCGACCCCTTCTTCAGCGGGTTCTCCGCCCCCACACGAAATCTGAAGCGACTCCTTCCACCAGCCAATTGTTAGCACTAACCTTGCGTCATCTCCGCCCTCTTCCTCCCGCAGTGTCGCACAGCAACAGCCAAGCTTGAGACGCTCTCCAGTCACCTCCTGCGCAGGGTTGCGGGAGGAGCTGAGGAGCGCGCAGGCGCCGTAGCGCGCACGAGCTGGCCCGCCTGTCGCAGCAGTGCAGATTCTAACGACAATCTAGTCGTGCGTAGTGACGGAAGTCCTGAACAGGAGGTTGTCTCCATATAAGCAGCTGCACTGGTCGTGCCATAACGGTCCCTATTTTGCTGAAGTGGACACCGCCAGAAATGGAAGAATATTTATTTTTTCAGCCACAAGATGTGTGATAGTTACAGAAGGAACAGGAAACTTACACACCGCCAAACTGGTCTCCAAAGTGATTTGGAGGCTAGACCATCACTAAATGTATAGAATGTTTATGATTATGACAAAGAAAAGTTAAAAGCCAAAATCAAAGGAGAGAACAAAGTAAAAGTTTTCCAAAGCATTTTATTCACCATGAAGTCATACTCAAGATGCTAGAGGAAACGTCCGTATCTGCTAAGTTCTTGTTGGCAGCAATGAAGAGGCAGAATTTTTTACGCATTATTCTGTCCAGTCTCACAATCGGAAGCAGCCTTCGATTTGTCAGATGCTTCATAAGCTTGGATAATAAGCCTTAGGTGAGTGATTATTTTTTTGTCAGCTGTTTTCACGTTAAATCCCAGCATCTTCATTATCATTTCTTGAAAGTCGACACGCTACAAAGGGCCACCACAAAAAACAAGACATGTCGTTAGTTTTGGTCACCTACTTATTGTGTATAATAAAAGTGGGATGAGAAATTTAGTTTTGTTAAACATTTATTTGTGAAATGTAACATTCTGTATTTAAATATTTTAAGCTACAAAAATGACCTATTACAAGAAGTCTTTATTTACATTTTTCTTTTAAGATTTTTTTCTTATTTTTACACTTTATAAACTAGACCTAATTTTATTGCTGCTTGTTCTTCATCTATAAGGTAATTTCTTTGTTAAACTTCTGATTTGCTGTGATAACAGTAGCAAATACATCTCTCTTCACCCATTCTTCTAAAACCATGGTGATCAGCAAGGAAAGGAGATAAAAACATCCATAAATCATGCCTCAAACATAACCAGAAAATACCAGACTTCAGTATGCATGTAAGTGGAGAAATAAACACCCTAAGCCAGCAAAGGTAGCCCAGAGCGCATGCTGGAGGATGCAGCGGGTTTCCACTGGTGGCCCAGAAATGGGACAATGCCAAAAGGGGGAGATACAGCGCAGAGAACAAGCCTGAGACCTGGTGGATTAGAACACTGGGAAATGGGGAAGGAAGAGAAAGGGGCGTAGAAGAAAACAGAAATGCAGTATCACCCAAAGTGTTCCAGTGATGAAAATACGCTCCCCAAAACACAGCCATGCAGCAGGGGAAGCATGTTTGACACAACTCCTGATGTGAATTAAATATTCACTGGACAAGGAATTGCAGACATGGCATAAAACACACACACACACACAAGCCTTTCTAAATGTAGTATTTCAGAATACAAACGGACAAAAAAAAGATGTCTAAGATGCCTCATTAATAAGGAAGATGTGATAATTCAACTCAGAAAAGAATAAAACAAAATCTTCTCAGAAATGAAGACTAAACCACAGAGTGCCCAAAGGAGAAGAGATCTAACTAAAAACAATCAGGAATGTGTGAATATGCAGAAGTTAAAAAAGAGAAAAAGTGATATCATGACTTGATATTTTAAGACTCAAGACAATCGGTTAAAGTTACATATTTCTCCCTCTCTGGTGTAGCTAAGTGGATTGAGTGCCAGCCTGCAAACCAAAGGGTTGCTGGTTCCATCCCCAGTCAGAGCACAGGCCTGGGTTTTGGGCCAGGTCCCCAGTAGGGGGCGTGTGAGAGGCAACCACACAGTGGTGTTTCCCTCTCCTTCTTCCTTCCTTCCCCTCCGTCTAAAAATAAATAAAATCTTTTTTTAAATGTTACATATTTCTTAAGCAACTAATATATGGAGGTATGACATACAATCCCACAATAGCACAAAATTATCAGGCCTTTAAGAATTGTCTTAAAATACCTGCTTTATGAATACAGTGAAAAATCTAAGCAAGTTTAGAAGCATTACCCCACAGAAAGTGACCCAGCCCCATACACATGGTTTCTCCTGTTGGTTAGTCAGAGGACGTGTACACAAACCTGTGCTAAGATAACCATACATCCCATCCCTCATTGCTGTGAACCAAGGATAGGCATTTGATCCAAGCTGAGCTTATACAGACCCTTTCTTGGGATTCTCTCTGTTGTCACAGAAGCAGTAACTAAAACACTGTGGTTTTCAGTCAGAGACAAGCTGTCACACCAAGAGGTGCCAAGAAGAGATGGTGAGAAAGGCTTTACAAGTTCCCATGTGCTCAACCTAGGGCTCAGGTGCATCCCCACCCACCCAGAGCTCCGGGGGTTTAACTCCCTTTGACTTCATAAGCCAATAAATTCCCTTTTGTCTAAGTTGCAGTGTTTATCACTTCAACTTAAAGAATCTTAATACAGTAATGATAATGATAATAATGTGTTTAAAAACCTCTTGTGGACGTCCTGATACGTTTTCGAGTGCGCTCTTTGCTGTGCAGAGCCCGGGAGTCACAGCGTCTACCACCTGATGGGCCCTGTCTTTGTCCCAGCTTGCCTCCTGCTTGGCCGAGTCCAGCGGAGTTTTCAAGTTACCCGATTTCCCAACTGCCTTCCCTCTCATTGCTTCAACTTTTATTAAAGATTGCCTGAGCTTCTGGATTGTTTTGTCCTGTGAGGGTAGAAGGTTAAGGTTGAGAGAGAGAAAGATGACTGATTAGATCTCTTAATAACAGACAGGCGTGATGAGTGATAACTCACACTTCTATTTTTTTTAAGAGGTATCGCTTCTCGGCCTTTTGGCTAAGATCAAGTGTATTTTTTTTAAGAGGTAGATACATGGAAAAGAAAGAAAATTACAGTTTATGAATTCAGAGGTCATTTCTCTACCACCATCCTCATCAATAACCAACAGTCATCGGACACTTTTATAAACTAGGCACTTGGGGTTTACAGAGGTTTAACAAGTGTTCACATCCTCGAAAGGCTTACGATCTGTGCTAATTAAATTCAGAAACTGAGGAAATAAGCAGCTGTGCAGTAAGAGAAATATTGCTGATAAAAAAAGTTGATAAATATTTAATGTACCTGTGGTTTAAGACAAAAAAAATGTATGTCTGAAATATTACAGCTGAAGCTTGAAATAGTGAAGGTCAAAGAGAAGCCTGGCAAAATCACTAAACCATTTAACTCTTACCCAATAAGAAAAACAAAAACAAGACTAAAACAAAAAGCAAGGGATCTAGAAGTTACCTTGGAGGAGTGGCAAGGGAAACACACAGGGGCATCCATGAGATTGATAGTCTCTTTTTTAAGATTAATGGTAGATTTGCAGGCATCAAATTTTATTATTATATATGTTTTAATGATATAAGTATTCTTTTGTATGTACGTAAAATAATTTTAATGTTAATTTTAAGTTCAATGACAAACATGTAGCTAAAACAGTAACAAACCAAAGCTTAAACAAATTTTTTAAAGCATAACTTCCTTTACTTACTTTAAGGATATTTACTCTTGTTAGCTGGGTTTTCATATTTTTATTTGACAATTTCAAATCACTGAGCTGTTTCTGAAGTTCCTGAATTTCTCCCTCTAATCTTTGAGTGGTTGCAATCTGCAAATTCTGCTTAATATTCAATAAAGTTTGTTGCTTGTTGTCTTTCTCTAGCTGTTTAAACATCTTGCTGTTCCCATTTATTCTAGAATTCTTAGACCTGGAGTTTTCCTTTGAAGAAATCAACAGTATTGAAATAAAGAAGTTGTATTTTATGATGGTGTTCTACATTAGCATACCAAATCTACCCTCGTCTGATGAATTGCAGACTTAAAATTGCTTACATAGGTAAAATATTTTTTCAACATAAATATGCAACATTAAAATTATCTGGAAAATAAAATATGATGATAAAAGCTCGTGGCTAGCAAGAGTATACAGTTAAGTAGACAATATAATTAACACCAGGTGGTAGCATAGACTAACTTAACTTTTCTAGGAATGAATTATAAAGAAATAACCCAATATTTAGATAAAGATTCATGCATCGAGATATATACATTACTCATAACATGAAAAAATAATGCAAACTTCAAAAAAGATTAAATAAATGACATAATTTTCTATAGATTCCCTAGAAATCAAGTTTTCAAAAATTTCTACTAAGAGAAAATATTAATGATATAGTGAAATGGAAGAAGATAAAAAACTATAAGAATTATATTAAAATATGCATGGAAAATAATCAGAAGGAAATATATCTATATGCTAACAGTAGTTCTCTCAAAGTGGTAGAATTACTGGTAATTTAAATTGTATTCTTTCTGCCCTTCGTAATTTATAAAGTCACTACCAGAAAAAAATAGAAGAAGAAGGGGTGTGGATTTTTAAGAGATACCATATATTTTCATTATATATAAATAAAAAACTAGTAAAATGTATATTTTTTAAAAACCACTGTTTTTACAGAAAGATAAAATAGATGCTGCAGGAAAGCCTCATTGAAGAGGAAAAAAAGAATGTGAAAAAATGATATTAGGAAGGAAGAAACATACAGAATGTGTGGATATAGAAAATACATAAAAAGTTCTAAAAGAATATTTTTAACTCAGTGACAATAAATTGGGAATCTAAAAGAAATACATTTTCTTAAGAAACAACATAATAACAAACAATCATGTCCAGAAACCCAAAAACTTTAGTAAAGAAAACTATTGGACTTAAGTGACTTCAGTAGGTAGTAAATATTTAATAAAAATACAAGCATATCAAAGGCTTTCATCTATGTAGTAAAAATGATTTCAAATAGAAATGGGAAAATACATTGTTCACAATGAGCAGAAAATCTATAAGAGAATTAGGAACAAATTTTTCAAGAAAGACGTATGAGGGACTTAAAGGATACATATGAAGAACATATAAAATTCTTCTGGAGGACCTAAAATAATAGGTCATGTACCAAATTATAAAACATTATCAGACTAAAATTACAAATACTTAAATTATAGATATCTGAAAAAGTGGTGTATAAGTATATTAATAAACTCAATTTAAGCAGATATTGTGAAATAATAAAAATTATTTTTTTAATTTGTCCAAAATCATACCATTACAAGGCTGAGTAAAATGCAAACAGTACTTACAAATTGTCACTTTGGCAAGTATAAAATTTACATTGAACAGTTCAACACAGTGTAATTATTAACTTTATTTTTGACCTCTGTTATTCCTTTAAATGTATTCTGAGGTAATAATTCTTTGTTTGCCACTAAGACATGTGTTTCCTGATCACTTTTAGTTTAATGTAAAAATTATAACCTTACTTTTACTCAAAGCTATGTCTACTCAGGAGATTAGGAATGACATTAACAGATTAATACATAAAGACAACTAAGTTGAAATACTGAATATGACAAAAATAATAATTGAAATAAACAACACAGGTGAGAAAAATAGAATGGATAAAAACTCAATGAACTGAGTTGGAGATCAAGTTAAGAAACTCTCAGAGAAGGCAGCAGGAAAGGGTAAAGATATATAAACTATTTAAAAAAAAAACAAAGTGTATGTAGGTTCTCCAGACAGGCAGTACCAACAGACTAGTATGTGTGTGTATGTGCATGCATTCGTACATGCATGTGTTCATACATGTGTGACAGGGAGAGATTTGACTGACAATTGTGACTCCTGGAAGTCCAAAATTGGCAGGGCAGGCCCAGGGAACAGTTGATATTGTGGCTCAAACCCAAAGGTAGTTTGTGGGTACAACCTCTCTCTTTCTCAGGGGTCCTCGGCCTTTTTAAAGCCTTCAACTGACAGGGGGAGGCCCACCTGCATTATGGAAGGTAATAAGCCTTACTCAGAGCATTCCTCAGGTAATAAGGCTTCCTCTGATGGAAATGTTAGTCTGATCTAAAATGCAACATCTAGACTGGTGTTTGAACAAATATCTGAGCACCAAGCCTAGCCAACTTGACACATGAAATTAACCATTACACACACACAAAAAGGATAGAATTAGAATTCAACCTTCAGATATTAGTCATAGGAGTAAGAATAAAAGAGTGGGGAGAAAACAAAATCAAAAGGAAATAAGTGGATGGGAAAAACACTGAAATAAATGATGAAATCGACAGATGAAAGACAGATTAAAAACTTCATTAAGTGCCAAACATAGAGATAAGAAAAAAACCCATACATCTAAGCACATTATAACAAAATTTAAGAATATCAAAGCAAATGAGAAAACTCTAATAGCTTCCTGAAAGACCATCTTGTGAATAAATGCATACATACATACATACATACATACATAAAATCTTCCTGAAAGAGTAGATCATCTACAAAGGAGTAAGAATCACACTGATTCAGACATCACAACAATAACAGAGGATCCAAGAAGATAGTTTAAAAAAATTTAATGATGGAACTTTGAGCCTAGAAGTTTATTTATGTCCAGCCAAACTGTCATTAAAATATGGGGGTATATTAAAAATGTCATCAGGCACATATGGCATCTGACAAAGAACCAACTTTTAAAAACTCTTGTAGAAATGCTCAAATAAAGTATCAAGAGGACTTCCACCAAGATGGAGGCATAGGTGAAAGCACTGCACCTTCTCGCACAACCAAGTTTAAAAACTACAAAGTTTTAGCAACAAAAACGCAGGCAAACCACAGAAAATTGAACTACACGGATGTCTGACAACAACGAACCCTTCAGTCAAACTGGTAAGAGGGGCAGAGCCAGGGCAGAGCCAGCAGCAGAGCCAGCAGCAGAGCAGGGTCAGGCAGAAAAGACCCACTGGACCAACCCAGGTACACGACCCAGGTGTGCCAGCAGCCGTGGGAGGATCCCAGGTGTGAAGAAGTGGGCGGACCCACTGAGGGCACAAGGTGGTGGACCCACTGAGAGCTGATCGAGGTCACACATTCACACGCACATAAACCGGTGAAGGAGCGAGCAGTGAGACAGACCATGCAGGCCCCAGCGGCAGGAAGCAGCAGAGGGAACCACCATTGTCCCTCTCTGACCCCGCCCCCACATACAGCATCACAAACTAGCGACCTGGGTGGCCCTACCTTGGTGAACAACTAAGGCTCCACTCCTCATACGTAACAGGCACGAACAGATCAAAACATGGCTCAAGAACAACTCAGAGCCCCAAAGCCAATAATTCTAAGCAATGAAGAAATAGCCAAACTTTCAGATGCACAGTTCAAAACACTGGTGATCAGGATGCTCACAGAACTGGTTGATTTTAGTCACAAATTAGAGGAACATATGAAAGCTAAATTAATTGAAATGAAGGGAAATACACAGGAAATCAATAGTGATGGAAAGGAAACTGGGACTCAAATCAAAGGAGTGGACCAGAAAGAGGGAAAAAATGACCAAACAGAAAATAATGTAGAAACGAGAATTCAAAAAAATGAGGAGAGGCTTAGGAACCTCCAGGACATCTTTAAACGTTCCAACATCTGAATTATACGGGTACCAGAAGAGGAAGAGGAACAGCCACAAGTGGAAAACTTATTTGAACAAATAATAAAGGAGAACTTCCCCAAGCTGGCAAAGGAAATAGACTTCCAGGAAATCCAGGAAGCTCAGAGAGTCCCAAAGAAGTTGGACCCAAGAAGGAACACACCAAGGCACATCATCATTACATTAGCCAGAAAAAAAAATAAAAGTAACTAAATAAAATTTAATATTAAAAAAAAAGATTAAAATGAAGGAGAGAATCCTAGAAGCAGCAAGAGATAAGGGGACAGTCACCTACAAAGGAGTCCCCATCAGACTGTTAGCTGATTTCTCAAAAGAGACCTTACAGGTAAGAAAGAGCTGGAAAGAAGTATTCCAGGTCATGAAAACCAAAGGCCTACATCCGAGACTGATCTATCCATCAAAGTTTTCATTTAGAATGGAAGGGCAGATAAAGTGCTTCTCAGATAAGATCAAATTCAAGGAGTTCATCATCACCAAGCCCTTATTATATGAAATGTTAAAGGGACTTATCTAAGAAAAAGAAGATAAAAAAGATGAACAGTGAAAGGACAGCAAACTCACAGTTATTAAGAACCACACCTAAAACAAAAGCAAACTAAGAGGACAGCTAGATCAGGAGCAGAACCATAGAAATGAAGATCACATGGAGGGTTAGCAACAGGGGAGTGGGAGAAGAAGGGGGGAGAAGGTACAGAAAATAAGTAGCATAGATGGTAGGTAGAAAATAGATAGGGGGAGGGCAAGAATAGTATGGGAAATATAGAATCTAAAGAACTTGAGACATGTGGTCATAAACTAAAGGGGGGGAATGGTGGGGGAGGAGTGTGCAGGGTGGAGGGGAATGAAAAGGGAAATAGAACAACTGTAATGGCATAATGAATAAAATATATTTTTAAAAAAAGAAAAACTCAAATAAGGAGAAATGTCCAGGAGGATGCTTCAAAAGATATGCAGCTAAAGGTGATCAAACACCTTGTTCAAGTTCAGTGGTTATATCAAAATAACTAGAATCAAGTAAAAGAAAACGGACAGATATATTCAAACAACCCAGAAGTTAAAAATTCAGAGAATAATAATAATATAATTGAAGGCTGAGTTCAGAGACCAAACAGGAATGACATTCTTATAAATATTAAGTAAATAAGAGTATTGTTCTTAATTAAAGAGTGCCAGCATCATTGTGCTTCGGCAGCACATATACTAAAAAAAACTCCACCAGCATCAGAATAAAAATAGATTATATAACTTTAAAACCAGCAGGAAAAAATGAATTTGTATAAAAGAAACCTGGAAAATAGAGCCCCTCAAAAAACAGGAAAGTAAAGTATATGGAAATTATTAAGTTAATAAAAACATGTCCTAATATAATAATAATTGCAATTAATGTACACGTATTAAATTCACCAACTGGATGCCCTCCAACTCGAATTTTAAAAAATACAACCATATGCTGTGTTTTATCACAGAGAAAGAGAGAAAAATACAATGATAAAAAGATATACCACATTTGGGCAAACATAAACCAAAATAAAATTGTGTAAGTAACCACAACTTCTGAAAATGGAGAATTTAAAGCAATATTTTATAAAGGACAAAAATGTTTATAGTTCTATTAAAAAAAAACAAGGCAGCAAAGATCCCCATAAGTGCATATGCTCCAGTAGGCCATGAAGCAGAAATGCACAGGACTCTAGGGACTAATGGATGAATCAAAAATTACCCTTGGTGAATTAAGTACACCTTTTCCAGAGTCAAGGAAACAAAAATAATCAGAGATACCGACGATCTAAACCACATGAATAATATACTTGAGCATTAGCTAACTATGGAAATTTATGCCCAATAAACAGAGAACACATTTTTTAATGAGCACATATGGAACAGTTACAAAAGTATATAGATGTTGAATTATAATATTGCAAACCTGGAAATTATATGCTATTAACCAATTTTACCCAACAAATTAATGTGAATATATATTTAATATATACATAATGCTGAATACAATGAGATTTTTAACACAATACCATTTACGCCAATTTAAAATACGTGCACAAAAACCACACTTAAAAGAACATCTATAAACAAAAAGACACACGTTAAATACATAAGACTGATTTTCTTTGGGATGGGCATGGGGAAGGAACTAGCAGCCGAAGATGAATGCATGGTCGGACTCCATGGAGGACGCTGTTGATACCACTTCATTAAGTGCTGGAAGTTTTTTAAACTGAGCATTCAATACATACTGAATAAACGAATGAACAAATGAAATGAGAGACTAATGAGTAAGCAGTGAGTGAGTGAGATTACATTTTGGGCCATAGCAGTTATGGAAATAATATAACATAGGTATGAGTATGACGAGCAATTCTGAGTAGTAGTGAAATAGAATAAAAATGTCCTGAAAATAAATTATATTGCATCCTACCTATTTTCATGGCAGGTTTAGGATTGATTTCTTCCTTACAGGTTTAAAGAAGCAAAAGGTAATGGCCTATAACATAATTACTGAGGATGTCACCAATGGCGCCTTTTAATATCCATCTTATCTAACTGACCCGGTGCCTGCAATTCCACCTTCAGAGAGTCAGTCCTTTGAGCTCATTTTCCCCTAACCCACCTTTTAAAAGTACATTAAGGAATACATTAATAAGTGCCCTCACAATAACTATAAAATATGTATAAAATGAGAAATGGAAGATATGAAGTGGGGATAGGATTTTTGATCAAATCACAAGGGTTTTAAGCAAAGTTTCCTCTCTTTCCCCAAATTAAAAGCTTTAAACATTAACAGCTTTAAACATTAGATAATAGAAAAAAATATGATCATTTTCATTGTCAAAGAGATGCCTTATACTTCACGAAATTCTTACTTTATTCCTGCCCAAGTCTAATCTCTCTTGAAAAAAGTCATTAATAGCAATTTTTCCTTCCAGACGTTTCAAGGGTCTTTTTTGTTCCCCACACTTCTCTTCAGTTTGGGATGATTCTTCACGATGATGAGGATGCACCTGTTCCAGTCGTTTAGTGAGCATCTGAATTTCCTGCTGAAGGCCTTCAGTTCTCTGCACAGGAAAAAAACAAGATGAAACTCCCTGACAGTCCATGATTTCTATTTCATCTCGATACTGTGTAAGTTCTACTATACTGATATGGTAGTGACATTACATTACTAAATAGATGCTGGTTTCAAAAAATAGAAAGATTTCATACATAAATACAGGACATTTTAGTTAGTACTGAGTAATAAAATTATATAATGAATTTAAGAAAACAGAGTGTAAAAAAATTTGGAACTCTACAATAAACAGACCACCCTGTAGCAGGTTTTACTAACACACTGAATTTAAGCATTATCTATCTTCCTCTGAATTGTAGGGTAAAGACTCATGAAATTCTACTAAAGTGATCTGAACACAATAGAGAGACATAATCATTGAAATGTGCTTGTTCAATCTTTTGATAGACTTGACCAGTAAATTCAAATAAATAACTGATTTGACAATTTATTTGCTGCACTGACTGAACTGTATGCTCATGAGGGAAACATTATCTTCACCCTACCACTATTTTTAAGCTAACATTAATTGAGCTTACATGTAACTGTGCTAAGCATTTATCATGTATTAACCCATTTAATTCTTATAGCCACTCTGAGATGGGAACTATGTTCCCCAAACCCCCTCTTACCCACACCCGCTCCTGCCCAATTTCACAAAGGAAACTGAGGCAGAAAGTGGGTGAGTAACCTGCCAGGAGCACACAGCTGGCAATGGCAGAGCTGGGGTTCACATGGGAGCTCAGTGCTCTGCGCTAATAATGGACATCCTCCTCTCTTTTATTACAGTAGTAATACAATCAATATTACAGTGTACAGCCACAGAGTTCACTGAATTGGCTAACATCACAGTCCACATCTTCCAAGAAACAAATTTAAAGGAGTAACTGGTCTGTTAGTACACTTACAGACTTCCAAGACTGGTCGTTGGCACCGACTTCCTGAATCCTCTCTTTCTCGGCTTCCTCCGTGGCTGGGACAGGGGCAGCACTGTCGCTCAGAAGAGGAGCCAACTGACTGAGGAATTCTTGAGAGTGGCACTGCACAGCTTTAGCTTCCCAGCTGGACGAATACGGAGGTCTGTCTAGAGTATATTTTTGTTTTTCTGTATGGATCAAATCCTCTTGACATTTATCCCAAATTTTCTGCCCATCTTTTGGTCCCTCGGAGTGAAAAATGTTGTCTCTCTCACAGTTCTTGGCCAGGATGGCTTTACCTTTATCCTAAATGTGCCAACACACGTGTTAAAATTTCCATTTGGGATTCAGAATGGACATACATATTTCCTTTCTTTTGGAATATAGACATAGCCATAATATATAACTTCAGGAAAAGGTCCTCAAAAGAAAGTAAGAGTTACAGAGTCCTGAGAGAGACAAGGTTGTACTCAAAAGAGCAAACTAGAACAACCAGAGAGGAGTTAAAACGATGACATGGAGGGACTGTTTTGAGAACACAGGAAATTTGGCTTAAAGGAGCAGCTAACCAAACAGCCCTACTTTGTGAGGACACGCTCTTTAGAGAATATTTTGAGCTGTAAAAGTATGTAATGTAAATGTAAAAGTATGAATGAAGGAAGTTACACCCCCAACCCTTTCCTTGTGCTCCTGTAGTCCTCCTGCTTCCCCTGCAAAGAGGAAAAAAACAGAAGACAATGCTGCGCCCCACCCAGTCGACCTCCTGCAGGAAGATCCTCCCTTCATAAGTTCTAGCCTTCTTGCCACTGTCAACTCTGGAAGATGAGTAAACCAGTGGAGTTTCTGGGCTTTTTGCCACGTGAAATTGGGAAATGGAAGGACAGCTAGAATGGTTGAAATAATGGTGACTTTGCCTCACTAAAAGCCTGGGGAAAAAAGAGGCAAAATAGAAAATCCATGGAAGAAAAGGTCAGAGCTGCATGGACTCCGGTCCGGGAGAGTGTTCGGAGATGTGGCAGAGCAGTGAGAGCGGTAAAGGAAAATGGAGAGTGTTACTGCACCATACCGAGGTAGGCAATTAAAAATTGAAATTATTTTAAAGTACTTTGAAAGCAGTTCTGATTTTTTAATGGAACCCCTCACATTAATGGACTTTGCTTTACATTCAGATTTTACAACAAACTATGATAGTCTGAGAATTTCAAAATGAGCTTTCACCAGTTCTTTGACAATTGCCAGTCCCCCATCACCCTCCAATATTCTTCTAGAAGATCTTCGGCTGACCCTGTGAACTGCTGTGTACGAGTGACCTGGCTCATCTCTTCCTGCTTAACCCAACCCCTGTCCCAATTCTCTACTTCATTGCCTCATGTAGATGATCCAACAATTTAGCTTTGAAATTACTTGCCTCTCTTTCAATAATTTTCACCTATACCCCTCTGAATGGAACCCTTACACCCAGATCTAAAAACCTGCATTTTGTCAGCCAGAGGAAGTAAGCCAGACCAGATCTAAAACTGGTTTACTCTCGAACCGCCACTTCTTCTCCCAGCTCCCCGCAGCTCTAGGCCCTCCAACCTTTTCCTCGGAATCCCAGAGACCTTCATATCCTCCCTGCACTTTCCTGCTCTGCCTCCCTCAGAAGGCCATCCAGTCAACCACGCTGCACCACTGCCTTGTACCCTCCTCAGCAAGAGGCACTCAAAGTTGCCAATTATCTCCTGGAGTAATACAAAGTAATAAAAAACCTGTTTCCTCCTAAAATAATCAGAATTTATTCTCACCTTTATCATGAAACTGCCCAAGGTATCTTCTTGTCCTTTTGTATTCATACGAGGGGTGAGTTCATTAGCGCCTGCTAATTTTTTCTCCAAAAGTTTTGTTTTTTGCTCTGCCTTTTCTTTTTCAACCAGATGTATTCTGTGTAAGACAGCAGTAGGTAACAATATCATGAAACCAACTCAATATTCAAACTTCAATTAAAAATAGTGAAATAAATATTCCCCATTTAAAATATACTGTGTTGGGCAAAAAGTTCATTTGTTATTTTCCATAAGATGGTTCTAGTAGTGCTTTGTTGTCTTGAACTTCATTTGAAACAGTCTTGGTAGATTGATTGGGACAGCTTTCACATCAGCATGCATTAAAAAAAACATCAAAATTGGTGATTTTTTTTGTATAGTCATTTTAATATTGAAGATGGAAGAAAATATGTAATATTTTTAGCATATTGTGCTTTATTATTTCAAGGAAGGTAAAAATGCAACTGAAATGCAAAAAAGATTTGTGCAGTGCATGGAGAAGGTGCTGTGACTGACGAAATGCATCAGAAATGGTTTGTGAAGTTTCATGCTGGAGATTTCTCTCTGGATGATGCTCCATGGTCAGGTAGACCAGCTGAAGTTGACATTGATCAAATCAACATGTTAACTGAGAACAATCAACATTATACCACAAAGGAGATAGCCAACATACTCAAAATATCCAGATAATAAAGTTATTGGTGAAAATGAAAAAATGTGTCTTTTGTTTTACGGACAAAAATGAAGCTGACTTTTTGGCCAACCCAATGTTAAACATGTATATCAAGTAAAAATGTAACTATTTCTAAGGAGAGACTAGAAATGGCAGAGAAATGGAGAGAAAACAACCTGATTTAAGCCCTGTAGTAGTTACCCTGGGGGAGGTCAATTTGGAAACCATCCTTTTCCAGAAGGCATCTGAGTGTGAGTATCTGACGGCCACTATTGGCAAAAGCGTGACAATTGGGAGGCTGCACAAGCACTCCTGCTTTGATAACACCCTGACGGGCTCTGCTACTGGGGTCTGAAGAGGGAAAAGGACCTAAAAAGAATGATACAGCAACAGAGAATAGCGTGTGTGATAACTTTGTTTACTATCAAATATACAAACAGCAAATTATTTGGTTCTTGCTTTGATTATCAATTGCTAGGTATTGGAATATTTTCTACCCTGTAGCTAAGTTCCAGTTTCAGCCCATCTTCCATGATTTTTATGTCATTTTTCTATCTAAGAATTACATTATACAGAATTAATGAATTTGAGTTAGGTCAACAGAAGTTACTTGAATTATATAAAGAACAATTTCAATTCAAAAATTTATATTAGAGACATGTAGGACAAACACACCTGTAACTGTAGGCCTAGAATGAAAGTAGAGATAGAATGGGACAGAAATAATATTTGAGAAAAAAATTCCAAGAATTTTTCAAGCCTGATGAAAGACATCAGTTGATAGATTCAATAAGTTCTTCAAATCCTAAGCAGGAGAGATACAAAGAAAGCCACACCAAGACACATCATAGTCAAATCATTACCAATTAAAAGCAGTCAGAGGAAAAAAAAAACACGTATTACCTTCAGAATTGCAACAATAAAACTGATGACTGAGTATTCAACAGAAGCTATAGAAGTCAGAAGATAACTGAATGACATCTTGGAGAGCTGAGAGTAAAAATACTGATATATCAGAATTCTATACACAATAAAAAATACCCATCAAGGACTTCTGCCAAGATGGAGGCGTAGGTGGAAGCACTGTGCCTCCTCACACAACCAAGTTTAAAAACAACAAAGTTTTAGCAACAAAAACGCAGCCAAAACCATAGAAAATTGAACTATACAGAAGTCTGACAACAAGGAACCCTTCAGCCAAACCGGTAAGAGGGGTAGAGCCAGCAGCAGAGCGGGGTCAGGCAGGAAAGATCCACTAGACCGACCCGGGCACGCGACCCAGGCACGCTGGCAGCCATAGGTGGATCCCAGGTGTGGAGAAGCGGGCAGACCCACTGAGGGCACAAGGTGGTGGACTCACTGAGGGCTGACCTTGGTCACAAATTCGCACTTAGATAAACCGGTGAAGGAGCGAGCAGTGAGACGGCCCACGCAGGCCCCAGTGGCGGGAAGATGCAGAGGAGACCGCCATTGTCCCTCTCCGCCCCCACCCCCACATACAGGGTCACAAACCAGCGACCTGGGTGGCCCTGCCCTGGTGAACATCTAAGGCTCCGCTCCTCATACGTAACAGGCACAAACAGATCAAAACATGGCTCAAGAACAACTCAAAGCCCCAAAGCCAATAATTCTAAGCGATGAAGTAATAGCCAAACTGACTTCTGCCAAGATGGAGGCATAGGTGGAGATGCTGTGCTTCCTCACACAACCAAGTTTAGAGACAACTAAATGTTAGCAACAGAGGACACAGCCAGAACACAGAAAACTGAACTTTTCGAAAGTCTGAATAACAACAAATTCTTTCAGCCTGACTGGTAAGAGGGGCGAAACCAGCAGCTAGTGGAGTGGGGTTGCACAGGAAAACTCGGTCAGATGGACTCAGGTGCGTGGAACCCAGGCGCAGGGTTGGACCTGGTGGGCAACTCAGTGAGCGACCATGGGGAAACAGCGAGGGAGCAGGACTGCGGGTTGACTGTGGTCGTGCATTCGTGTGTGGATAGACAAGCGAGGGAGTGGGCAATTGGACGGGTGCCAGCGGGCCCCCGTGGCGAGCGACAGCGGAGGGCGTCACCATCTCCCCACTCTAACCCCGCCTCCACATACAGCATCACAACCCAGCGACCTGGGAGTCCAAGGCTCCGCTCCTCGTACTTCACGGGCGTGAACAGAACAAAAATGGCTCAAGAAGATCTCAAAGCCCCAGAGCCTATAAATCTAAGTGATGAAGAAATAGCAAAACTCTCAGACGCACAGTTTAAAACACTGGTGATTAGGATCCTCACAGAACTGGTTGATTATAGCCACAAATTAGAGAAACATATGAAGGCAAAACTAATTGAAATGAACAGAAGTGCACAGGAAACCAATAGCAATGAAAAGGAAACTGGGACTCAAATCAATGGAGTGGACCAGAAGAAAGCAAATAATGGCCAAACAGAAAAGAGTGAAGAAGCAAGAATTCAAAGAAATGAGGAGAGTCTTAGGAACCTCCAGGACATCTTTAAACGCTCCAGCATCCGAATTATAGGGGTACCAGAAGGGGGAAAGGCACAGCCACCAGTGGAAAACTTATTTGAACAAATAATAAAGGAGAATTTCCCCAATCTGGCAAAGGAAATAGACTTCCAGGAAATCCAGGAAGCTCAGAGAGTCCCAAAGAAGTTGGACCCAAGAAGGAACACACCAAGGCACATCATCATTAGATTAGCCAAAATTAAATGAAGGAGAGAATCCTAGAAGGAGCAAGAGCTAAGGGGACAGTCACCTACAAAGGAGTGCCCATCAGACTGTCAGCAGATTTCTCAAAAGAGACCTTACAGGCAAGAAGGGGCTGGAAAGAGGTATTCCAAGTCATGAAATCCAAAGACCTGCAACCAAGATTGCTCTATCCAGCAAAACTTTCATTTAGAATGGAAGGACAGATAAAGTGCTTCTCAGATAAGATCAAATTCAAGGAGTTCATCATCACCAAGCCCTTATTATATGAAATGCTAAAGAGACTTATCTAAGAAAAAGAAGTTAAAGAAACATGAACAGTGAAAGGACAGCAAACTCACAGTTATTAACAACCACACCTAAAACAAAAGCAAACTAAAAGGACAGCTAGATCAGGAGCAGAACCATAGAAATGAAGATCACATGGAGGGTTAGCAACAGGGGAGTGGGAGAAGGAGAAGGAGGGAGAAGATATAGAAAATAAGTAGCATAGATGGTAGGTAGAAAATAGATAGGGGGAGGGCAAGAATAGTATGGGAGATATAGAATCTAAAGAACTTGAGACAGGTGGTCATAAACTAAAGGGGGGAATGGTGGGGGAAGGGAGTGTGCAGTGTGGAGGGAAATGAAGGAGGGGAATAGAACAACTGTAATGGCATAATCAATAAAATATATTTTAAAAATACCCTTCAAAACAATGAGGATGAAATACAGTTTCTGAAGGAAAAAATGGAAAAATTGTCAGGAGAACTGCATTATAAGAAACACTACAGGCAATTTCTCAGGATGAACAAAAATGATCCCTGGTGACTTCAGGAAAGAATGCAATAAACCAGAAAGAAAAAATAGAAATGTATACTGACAGTTAATAAAAATGACAATAATATCTTATGGGATTTATAAATATGAAAAGTTAAAATATAACCATAGTATGAGATGCTATCAGATGCTTCACAACTGGGGCTGGGGGTGGGGCAGGGAGGGGAAGGAATCTACTGTCCTTCTTGATGGTCTTTGATTTTAACTAATTTCTCAGGCTGAGTAGAGATTTGTTTCCTTACTTAGTTTCAAGTTCATATATATATATATTTTTTAAGTGATTTGGGAAATGCAAAAGAAATTTCAATCTGCCAATACATATCTAACCAATGTAGAATAGAAACAGTCTATACCGATATTCCTACTTATTTGAATACAAGTGATTTTTATATTGCATGGGCTTCTTAATTATTAGTAGTATTATAAGAGGAAAATTAATGACTTCATTTCTCCTCTTATTAACCAAGGGCTCACAATCAAACATCTCCTCTCTCTGTATACCAACTCAATAACCACATGTCAGAGAATAACAAATTGTATGAAGGACAAAACCACACAATCATCCCAATAGATGCAGGAAAAGCAGTTTATAAAATCCAACACACCTTCAAGATAAAAACACTCAACAAGCTAGAAATAAAATAAAATTTCCTCAACCTGATCAATGGTCTTTACAAAAGACTCAAAGCTACCATCCTATTGTACTTAATGGGGAAAGACTGAAAGTTTCCCCCCAAGATCAAGAACAAAGGAAGGATGTCTGTTTCTTACCACTTCCATACAACATAATACTGGAGGTTTGAGCTAAGGCAATTAATTAGTCAAGAAAAATAAACTGAAGCACCAAGATTAGAAAGGAAGAAGTAAATCTCTCTGCAAATGAGATGACCATGTATAAAGAAATTCCTAAGGAATACACACAAATGCACACATAACTATTAGAGCTAACAGGTACAGCACAGCTATAGGACACGGGGTCAAAGTACAAAAACCAATTACATTTCTATTCACTAATTTGAAATAAATAATTTCAAATAAAATTTGAAATAAAATTAAGGAACTAGTTACATTTGAAATTTGAAATAAAACTAAGGAAGTAGTTACATTTCCAATGCATAAAAAAGAATAACATACTTACCAATAAATTTAATAAAAGGAAGGTAAGACATGTACATTGAGAACTATAAAACATTGTTGAAATTAAAGAGAACCTAAATAATAGAAAGATAACCCATGTTCATGGACTGAAAGAGTTAATATTAAGATGGCAATACAACTCGAATTGATCTATAAATTCAACAAATTCCTATCAAAATCCCAGTTGATTATTTTTGCAGAAATTGACGATTTTAAAATTCACATGGAGAAGCAGGAGGCCCAAATAGCTGAAATAAACTTGAAAAAGAGGAAAAAGTTGGAGGACTCACACTTCGAAACTTACTAAAAACCTACAGTAATCAAGAGAGTATGGTGCTGGCATAGGACACACATATAGAGCAATGGAATAGAACTGAGAATCTAGAATTAAACTCACAGCCCTGGCAGCTGGGTTCAGTGGATTGAGTGCCACCTGTGAACCAGAGGGTTGTCAGTTCAATTCCCAGTCAGGGCACATGGCTGGATTTTGGGCCAGGTCCCCAGTAGGGGACACACGAGAGGCAACCACACACTGATGTTTTTCTCCCTCTCTTTCTCCCTTTCCCCTCTCTCTAAAAATACATAAATAAAATCTTTAAAAAAATAAACCCACACATAGTCCATTGATTTATTCTGTAAGATTGTCAAGACAACTCAATGGAAGAAAAAAATAGTCTTTTTAACAAGTGGGGCTGACAGAGCTAAATTAGTCAAGATGGGCCAAAGACATAAATTTAACCACTGAAACTGTAACTCTTAGAAGAAAACATGTGTGAATATCCACAATCCAAATGAGGCAGTTGTTTCTTAGGTATGACATCAAAGACACAAGTGACAAAAAAAGATAAACTTAATCAAACTTTTAAAATTTTGTGTTTCAAAAGATACCATTAAGAAAATTAAAAAACAACCCATAGATGGGACAAAAATATGTGCAAATCATGTATCTGATAAGGTTATGGTATCCAGAATATACAAAGAACACTTACAACTCAATGATAAAAAGACAAAAAGCCCAGTTTAAAAATGGGCAAAGGCCTGCCTGGTGTGACTCAGTGGACTGAGTGCCAGCCTGAGAACCAAAGGGTTGCCAGGTTGGATTCCCAGTCAGGGCACGTGCCTGGGTTGTGAGCAGAGTCCCCAGTAGGGGGTGCTCGAGAGGCAACCACACATTGATGTTTCCCTCTTTCTCTCCCTCCATTGCCCTCTCTAAAAATAAGTAAAATCTTTTTTAAAAATAAAAATGGGCAAAGGATCTGAATAGATTTTCTACAAAGAAGATACACAAGTGGCCAATACACACATGAAAGGATGGACAACATCTTTAGTCATTACACACATGCGAATTAAAAGGCACAATGAGATACGACTTCATATTCACTAGAATGGCTATAATAAAAAAGATGAACAATAAGATGGGTTGGTGAGAATATGGAAAAATTGAAATGTTCATACATTGCTGGTAGTAATTAAAAATGGTGCAGCTGCCCAAGAAAACAGCCTAGAAGTAAGTAACTTCGAAAAGTTAAATGTAGAATTACTTTATGATTCAGCAATTCTATTCCTAAGGCATATATACCTAAGAGAAGTGAAACATAAAGTCATATAAAAACTCATACAAAGAATGTTCATAGCAGCATTATCCATAAAGCACTCCCTCCAAAAGAAAACAACCCAATGTCCTCAACTGATGAATGGATAAACAAAATGTGATATATTCATATAATGGAATATTATTCAGCAATGAAAAGAAAGAAGTATCAATTCATGCTACAACATGAATGGATCTTGAGAACATTGTGCTCAGTGAAAGAAGTTGGATACAGAGCCATATATTATATAATTGAATTCATATGAGACGCTCAGAAAAGGCAAGTCCATAGAGAAAAAAAGTAGATTGGTGGTCATCAGAGACTGGAGGGGGTGGAATAGGGAGTAACTGGAATGGACATAGGGTCTATTTAGGGTGCAATAAAAATGTACTGGAATTAGATAGTGGTGATGGTTGCATGACCTGTGAATATACTGAAAACTAATGAATTGTATACTTTAAAGGAGTGAGTTTTAATGGTATGTAAATATCTCAATGGAAATGTTTTTTTAAATATAATCATTTTGAGCCAGGTATTATGTGAAATTCTTTTATATTTAAATTCTCTGATCAACCAGGAACACGGACATCATACACTACTTGTAAGTTAAGACAAACGACATTGGAAAACAAACTAGAAAACCCCTGGCCCTCGGAGCCCAACGCCACCACCTCATCTTCCCTCTGGCGGCTCAGGCTAGATGCCGGCGGCGGCGTGGAGACAGTGCCGCATGCAGACCGCCTGCAAGGATGTCCTGCTGGTCGGTGGCCCGGCCAGAGCTTCTGGGAACCGGCATCCCGTGCTTTACTCTGAAGACTGTAGCAAAGAAGTTTGCTGAGGACACCTTCAGGCCCAAAGTGATGAATGACTGCCTCCAAGTCTCAAGAAATTATTTTTCTCTAACCAAATAACTTTTAATATTTTAGACCTTTTCAAAATTCTGTAGGAATTGATGAGTTTTTATTCAAATAAGAAAACTGGGTGAAGGAGTAGTCTTTTAAATAATAATGGACTGGTTTGTTTGAAGTGCTTTCCACTGAAGAGAAACAAAAATCTTACCACCAAATATATCAAAATGTACCTCCTTCATAAGTAAATTACTATTGTTTCTATACCTGGAATATTATGTGTTTTATTCATTGGACACTTACCTTTTGGGAAGGAAAATATTTTTATTTATTAAAAATTATTTTTTGTAATATGTTGTTCCTAAGATTTTTACACAACAAAATTTGTTCTTTTCTCATGCACTTACGATTTCTAAATAAAGATAAGCCAGTGTAAACTTGGAGGAAGAATAAGCTTTATTAATCAAATGATGTCTCAATTTTTCTCACTGAGAAGATTGTTTTATTTGGAACATTAAACATCAAAGCTCTTAGCTAACTTGTTTGAAAAGATTCATGTTGTGTTGTGAAGTACAGTTTATCTTTGTCTTCTTAAGCTCCTCTACTTTATAGTTGTGGTTGTACTTAAAAAATTATTTTACACCTTTAAAAATATGTTCAACATATGACTGACTAACAATGATTAAAAACAAAGTAACGTAGGGGAAAGAAAGAAAACCCCCTACCTTAGACGGTTTTCTAGTTCCATAATTCTTTCATTCAGATCCCAGTTGACTCTTTCAAGACTATGAACATTGATGCTTTTCAAAGATTTAATTCTGGTTAGAGAGGCAATAAGCTCTTCTAGGTCCTTGATATCATTTTTCAGGGACATTATCTGAAACGACTGTTTCACATTATTTTCTTTGAAACTTTCTAGTTCACTCTTCATCTCTTGCACTGAAGTTTCTTTTATTAAAAGTTTGTTTTGAAGATTTCTTAGCTAAGGAAAAAGGGAAAGTGTTACTTGAAATCATTTATAATTTTGGTTTTAAAAAATTCCTGATTTCAAATCACTATGGGTATTCAAGTTACACATTAACATTTCAATAAAATGAAAGCTTTCAAATCTAACAGTACGTTCCAATTTTAAATATATATTAAAATTATATCAAATAGACACATATGACTTGGAATAAGTGATTTTATTCTCACCAACATTAAAGTTGTTTAAACCTCGTTACAAGAGTGAATTATACCAATAACAAATTTTAGAATTCCCAGCAGAAAAGAAGTACCCGATGCTTTGGCCACAGCTGTGTTGTTTTACGACGTGTGGCAAAGGAGTGCGCATGCGCAGGGCCCCCTTCTAAAGGGCCAATGAAGTTTGTATCACTTGGTTTCTGCCTTATTCGTGCTGATCCGAGAAATAGGGAGAGGAGATTCAGCAGAAAGAGTGACTCTTAAATTAATCATGAAGGAAATAAAACAACAAAGGAAAGAAGAGCTCATAAAGTTAGGAAGAGAAGCAGGAGTGATGACTTGTGAAAGTAGAAGCAAAACAGGCGAGCCACCAAAGGCCACTGTTGGAGGGAAGGAATTCAAAAGGATCGAAGGGGCAGAGGGTGCAGTTGCTGTGAGGGGATTTTATTATATTTGGGTAACATTTTTAAAAACTCTGTTCTTCTATCTGATAAGTGAAGGAAATTCACTAGATTAAAAAAACTCAGATATTTTTAGTACTTTTCTTGTGGCAGAATCTCAACAAATGTTGAGTTGTAACTCCGTTCCTATCAAATAGATCCCAACTTCTGGTGATCACAACAGTTGTTAAAACCCTTTGGCACTATCTTCATTATTTTAACCAGTAAAGTGAGGGATTCTCTGAGCTGCAGTGGTTACCATTCACCTAAGACACCATAAAAATAAAGAACAGCCCCTGGCGTTGTGCCATGTAGCTGTCCTATTCTCCTGTACTATGACCTAAGTACTATGTTTTAGTTAGTTTTTAGTTATCCTTTTGTCAGGTTATTGTTAAGATAATACCTTGTGAGAAATACCTAAAGCAGCATAAACCTCAAACTCACGCAATATTGATTTCCAGATCTAGTTTAGTTTTCTTTTAGTGACCAAACCTTGTCAACTAGTCTTTCAAAGCACTTGCCAGTTCTGTTTGTTACTCCCTCCATATGAACAGTGATTTGCAAAATCTCAGATTTTAAGACACTGCTGTATTTTTCTATGCCAATAAACCCAAATTTTGAATAGTTTGGTTGGATTTGAGTGTGATGAACCAGAAATATGTTCAGGACTTAGCTAAATCTATAAATCCCCAAAATGAGATACAGCCTGTTGAAGAAAATTGTTAACAAAGGACATATGTCAACAAAGGACATATCTACAGTAAACAATTCCAAACTCGCAGAAAACATGCAGTTAGAAAATGGGCAAAAGACTTGAAAAGAGACTTTATCAGAAAGAATATATGGATGGCAAATAAGCACATAAAAATATGTTTACCATCATCAGCCATTAGGGATATGCAAATTAAAGCCACAATGACATACTACTACAAATGTATTGGCTATCTAAAATAAAAATAGTGCCCTGGCTGGTGTGTCTCAGTGGACTGAGCACCAGCTTGTGAACCAAAGGGTTGCTGGTTCGATTCCCAGTCAGGGCACATGCCTGGGTTGCTGGCCAGGTCCCCAGTGGGGAGCGTGCAAAAGGCAACCACACATTGATGTTACTCTTCTTCTTTTTCTTCCTTCCATCCCCTCTGTCTAAAAGAAATAAATAAAATCTTTTTTAAAAAATTAAACAATAAGATACAAAATAGTGACACCACCAAATGCTGGCAAGAATGAGGAGAAACTGGGTCACTCACACATTCCTGATAAGAATGTAAAATGGTACAGCCACTCTGGAAAATTCTTTAGCAGTTTCTTAAAAACTAAACATGCAGTGAATGACCTTCTGACCCAGCTATGGCACTTTCAGGGACTTATTCCAGAGAAATAAAAAGTTATGTTCAGGGACTTCCGCCAAGATGGAGGCATAGGTGGATGTGCCGTACCTTCTCACACAACCAAGTTTAGAGACAACTAAATATTAGCAACAGAAAACACAGCCAGAACACGGAAAATTGAACTTTTCGGAAGTCCGTTAACAACAAATTCTTCAGCCTAACCTGTAAGGGGCGAAACCAGCGGCTGGTGAAGCGGGGCTGCACAGGAGGTCTCGGTCAGCCAGACTCAGGCGCGGAATCCAGACGCGCGCAATCCAGGCGCAGGGTTGGACCTAGTGAGTGACCGAGCGAGCCACCAGGCGAGTGACCGCGGGGGAGACAGCCGGGCCCGGGGCTGCGTGTTGACTGAGGTCGCGCATTTGTGCGAGGGTGGACAGGCGAGGGAGTGGGTGGTTGGACTGGGCCGGCAGGTCCCCAGGCGAGCGGCAGTGGAGGGCGCCGCCATTTCCCTGCTCTGACCCCACCTCCACATACAGCGTCATAACCCAGCGACTCTGAGTGGCCCGGCCCAGGTGAACCACCTAAGGCACTGCTCCTCCACACCCAGCTGTGAGAAGCGGCAGAGGGGGTCGCCATTTCTCTGCTCTGGCCACGCCCCCACATACAGCATCACAACCCAGCGACCTGGGAGTCCAAGGCGCCGCTTCTCTCACTTAAAGGGCCAGAACAGACCAAAAATGTCGCAAGAAGACCTCAAAGCCCCAGAGATAAATCTAAGCGACGAAGAAATAGTAAAACTCTCAGACGCACAGTTTAAAACACTGGTCATCAGGATCCTCACAGAACTGGTTGATTATACCGACAAATTAGACAAATATATGAAGGCAAAACTAATTGAAATGAATGGAATTGCACAGGACACCAATAGCAATGAAAAGGAAACTGGGACTCAAATCAATGGAGTGGACCAGAAGAAAGCAAATAATGGCCAAACAGAAAAGAATCAAGAAGCAAGAATTCAAAGAAATGAGGAGAGTCTTAGGAACCTCCAGGACATCTTTAAACGCTCCAACATCCGAATTATAGGGGTACCAGAAGGGGGAAAGGCACAGCCACCAGTGGAAAACTTATTTGAACAAATAATAAAGGAGAATTTCCCCAATCTGGCAAAGGAAATAGATTTCCAAGAAATCCAGGAAGCTCAGAGAGTCCCAAAGAAGTTGGACCCAAGAAGGAACACACCAAGGCACATCATAATTACATTAGCCAAAATTAAAATGAAGGAGAGAATCCTAGAAGCAGCAAGAGCTAAGGGGACAGTCACCTACAAAGGAGTGCCCATCAGACTGTCAGCAGATTTCTCAAAAGAGACCTTACAGGCAAGAAGGGGCTGGAAAGAGGTATTCCAAGTCATGAAATCCAAAGACCTACAACCAAGATTGCTCTATCCAGCAAAACTTTCATTTAGAATGGAAGGACAGATAAGTTGCTTCTCAGATAAGATCAAATTCAAGGAGTTCATCATCACCAAGCCCTTATTATATGAAATGTTAAAGGGACTTATCTAAGAAAAAGAAGTTAAAGAAACATGAACAGTGAAAGGACAGCAAACTCACAGTTATTAAGAACCACACCTAAAACAAAAGCAAACTAAAAGGATAGCTAGATCAGGAGTGGAAACATAGAAATGAAGATCTCAAGGAGGGTTAGCAACAGGGGAGTGGGAGGAGGAGAAGGGGGGGAGAAGGTACAGAAAATAAGTAGCATAGACAGTAGATAGAAAATAGATGCGGGGGGGCAAGAATAGCATGGGAAATATAGAATCTAAAGGAATTGAGATACATGGTCATAAACTAAAGGGGGGTAATGGTGGGGATGGGGGGGGTAGGGTGGAGGGGAATGAAGGGGGAATAGAACAACTGTAACAGCATAATCAATAAAAAAATTAAAAAAAAAAGAAAATAAATGCCTTTATGGTAAAAGAAAAAAAAAAAGTTATGTTCACACAAAGACCTATACATGAATGTCCATAGAAGCTTTACTTGTAATAGCCAGAAAACTGGAAGCAACCCAGATATTTGTCAACAGGTGAATGGTTACACAAACCGTGGTACTTACATACCCCAGACTCAGCAATGAAAAGGACCAAACTATTAATACATACAACAAATTGAATAAATCTCCAGGAAATTATGCTGAGTGAAAAAGCCAACCCCTAAAGATTACATATATATGATTCTATTTATGTAACATTTTAACAACAGCTTTATGGACATATAATTCATAAAGTTACCCATTTAAACTACACAGTTGCATGATTATTAGTATTCATAGAGTTGTGTGGACACACTAAATTGTTTTATTTTTCACTCTTAAAAATTGAGCTATAATTCACATACCATAAAACTTACCCTTTAAAGCATACAATGCAGTAGTTTTTAGTGTATTCACACAGGTTGTGCAACCATCACCACGATCTAATTCCAGAACTTTTTCATTATCCCCCAAAGAAACCCAACCCCCATCAGCAGTTACTGTACTGCCCATCAGCCCTCTCCCCCTCAGCCCCTGGCAGCCCAGCTACTCTCTGTCTCCATGGATCTGCTTATTCTAGATGTTTCAATGAATAAAATACAGTATGTTGTGTTTGTAATTTGGTTTGTTTTTACTTAGCATAATGTTTTCTAGGTTCATTCATGTTGTAGCACGAATCACTACTTCATTCCTTTTTGTGGCTGACTAAAATGCTACTACAGACATATACACATTTACTTAGTCACTCATTAGTTGATGGACATTTGAGTTGTTTGCCCTGTTTGGCTCTATGAATGATGCTACTATGAATATTCATTTACAAGTTTTTATGTGAATATACATTTCAATTCTCTTGTGTTAACTACCCAGGAGTGGGATTGTTGGGCCATACGGTAACATTAGGCTTATCTTTCTGAGTATGCAACATTTGGAAATGACAGTTTAGGACA